AAGTGAAATAAATAGGACACACATGTGTAAATACTGAATAGTTTCTCTCGTGTGAGAAATTGATAGTGTAAACAAGGGTTAAAATGATTAAAATGAATAATTGATAATTTGAAATAGGAAAAAAGTTCCACCCTTTTCTTTCTGACAGTTACACTTGGTGTTCTTTATATTATTAAGAATTCTTTGCCTCAGCATTTTTTGGGGGTTGGAGAAACATGGCATTGGGCTTTAATTTTCACTGAGTCCTCCCAGCAAGGATTTCCTGGGATTCTTACATGACTTTCTAAGTATTGACTGAAAAATATGGCTTGGTGGTGTAAATGTTATGTTCTAGGTGCTGTTTATTGTCCCCAAATGTGCTGATCCTGAAACCAAAAGAAACACAACCCTCCATCTACTTGGCAGGGGGTCAGGGTGGGAGATGGCTGGCAGAGTTGCAAATGTGTGATAATTATCTTGACATATAATCAATGGTTTTTAGTAGCCAATAAATAAAATTATTGATTAAAATGTATTTCTTTTTTATAAAAATATACTATTCCCCCTTCATTCTATTTGTGCCAGGGAGAGTTCTTGAATAGAGAAGCAAGTTTTTTTCTAATTCCTCACTGTCGGCCATGGTAATTGAAGCCATATGTTCTTAGCCAGAGATTTTCTTACCCTGATCTCATTATCTCTTCTACAAATTCTATATATTCTTCAAGTTTCAGACTTTATACTATGTTATCCAGATAAGTCTTTGTTGATACTGAACAGGATTTCAGTAAAGGGACATTGTCTTATCATCAAAGCAGTAAGAGTTAACACAATAGGCCTTGGATTGAAATGGACCAAATTTCAAGCCCAAAATTTAGAATTTCTTTGTAATCTTTGGATTTTTCTGTAACCTCCTCTAAATTATAGGAAAGCAGATTAAAAAATACCCCACCTCAGTTGTTGCATAGATCAATATGATAAAGCACATAAAATTCCAGCATGATTCTTGGTACCTTATTAGTTTTACTCTCATTGTTATTTCCCCCAT